ATCGCGGCGGAGATAGCCACCGGAATCTTGTTCCTCCACCAAACGAAGCCGGAACCGATCGTTCACCGGGACCTGAAGCCCGGGAACATTCTTCTCGACAAAAACTTTGTGAGCAAGATAAGTGACGTGGGACTAGCCAGGCTACTCCCAGCGTCATCATTAACCGAAGATGTCACTCAATATAGAATGACATCAGCGGCCGGGACGATGTGTTACATCGACCCGGAATATCAGCAGACCGGGTTGCTTGGTGTTAAATCGGATGTTTATTCGTTAGGGATAATGTTGTTGCAGTTGGTTACGGCTAAACCGGCTATGGGTTTGACTCATCATGTTAGAAGGGCGATTAATAAAGGAACATTTGCAGAGATGTTGGACCCGACTGTGACCGATTGGCCGATTAATGAAGCGTTAGGGTTTACGAAATTGTCGATACAGTGTGCAGAGTTAAGACGGAAAGATAGACCAGATCTTGGGAAGGAGGTGCTACCGGAGCTTAACCGGTTGAGAGATCTTGGTGTTGAAAATATGACTTCCGAAACGTCTCTCGCCCCGGTTAGTTAAAACTTTTACTTTTATTGTTTTCTGATGTAAGAATACGAGCAAAAGAGTATTCTACTGTGGTTAACATGCATTTGATTAGACTAGGACCGGTGACAATAAAAGAAAAATTACACATCTAAAATGTTTAACTAAGGTGGGGCATGATCGACCTTTTATTGATATCTCACATGTACAAAATCAAAAGACGTAAATACCCTTTAATAATTTTAAAAATAACTTTAAAACGTTTATATAGTCCTCTCCAGTATAGTCATGTCACATGCAACAAACGTAACCTAAGAAAACGTGGACTCAATCTAACTTAGACCTAACACGTAAGATTGGTCTATGCAGGATGCATAAGTGCTTCAAGCTTGACCGCACCATAGGCAGTTGACCTCATGTAACGAAACTAGATAAGTAGCTCAGCTCTTCTGACTTTTTTTAGTTCGATTTCATTAGACCCAAGACTGTTAACAAATTGAACGTTCAGCAAACCGTTTAGATCGAAGCTCGTTTATGTTCATTTATTTAATAAATGAGCGTACATAAACATGATTTTTTGTTTGTGTAGTTAAATGAACAAATAAAAACAATGGTTTCAATTGTTCATTTATGTTCGTGAACATTCATTTATGTTTTGTTTATGTGCGTTTATATTTGGTTATATTACATTGTATATATATTTAATATTATACATGTAGTGAGATTGAAAGACCGAAAGAAAGTGTAGATTTTAAGAGTGATTTAAGTTTTACAACTTCTAAATTTTGTAAAAATATCAAACGTGGCATCATTAAATATGAGCAACATATTATATAATTGTTAACGCTAAAGTTATAGTTTATGTTCATTAATGTTTATTTGTTTTCATAAATGTTTGGTTATGTTCATATATGTTCGATTGTGTTTGTTTATCTTTATTCATTTAGCATATTAATGAATATAAACGAACGAACATGAATCATATAATTTGTTAAATGGACGAACACAAACAAGAAAATCCGTTCATTTATCCGTGAGTGTTCATTCATTAGGTTGGTTAACTTAAACGAATAAACATGAACAAACTTTTGTTTGTTTTCATTCGGTTCGTTTACAATCTTAATTAAAGCGAAAGACATGTCATGACATCTTTGGTTAAACCGGCAAAAAACTTGGTAAATTTGTATGACTAAGGCCTTATATGACACAAATAAGCTAGCTTTTAACGTTTTGGTAAGACCATAAAAGTAGCTTATAAGCTGACTTGAAATAGCTTAATGATAAACTAGCTTTATAGCTAGAACATTAAAGAGAGCCCAAGTGTTGCATATAATATCTTGTCAATAATGGTGAATCCAATTTATTTTCTTTTTACGAGATCTATTAGAAAGCCAAAGGTATGACCGCGAAACAATATTATCAAATATAGCATCCTTAATTTCAAAGATGGTCGAATTTTGACAAGACCAAAACACCCAATTTATTATGAGAATGAACGCATCACAACCTTTCTTTTTAGTTGTATTAAGTCGTGTTTTATCCTCCCAACAAATCAAGCCTTTGTCATTGAGTAGTGGTATAGCCTACATAAGGGTCGTATCTCAATATGACAATTTGGAAGACCCGGACTCTCGGCTACCACACAACAGTACGACAAAATGTTGAACTCGTAATCTAGTCTTGGCGCTAAACACCTGCCATAAGGACACAACACCCAAAAATGGCATAATATCTTACAACCAACATCGGTGTGTTCCTCCCATTTCTAAGTTGATCATATCAAAAAACCAAATAAAAGCACATAGTACCAACAACCTTTTAGGCTAAAAGTCAAGATTTGTCTTCCACATCAACAATATAAATACCACCCTCATGTCGGGTTTTAGTAATACATACATCCATTCTTTACTATTCACATACATCCACTCTTCACTATTTACCATCTCTTACACTCTCTCGAGTTATCCTATCCTAACTTTGGCATCGAAGCATAATCCCCTATCATCCCATATTATGTCATCCAATATTATGAATGTGGCCTAGCTTTTCCTTTGTGATCACAAGTTTTGGAGATCCCAATTTTTACCCAAACAAGCCCCAATTAAGAATGGGTTTGGTTTCAACGAGTAATACAAAACAATAATATTCTACCAAGTACCAATCCGATGCCATAAAGAGATCATCAATTAATCAAGACGCGAAAAGATGATCCAAGGACTCAAAATTTTCTTTACAAAGCAAACATAAAATCAAATCAACATCACCTCTTGCATCTAAGTTAACCTTAGTCGACAACCTTTCATGACTGATACCTAACTCAATGAGTCAATGACTTGACTTAATGGTTATCTACTTATTCCACCTAGTGGGAGGAACACTAGTATCTAAAGTACACACAGCAATGAAGTATTTCATGGAAGCAACATAAATATGCCTAGATTCATCAAGATCCCAAAGCCAATTATCTTCTTTATTTAATTGAGTAAACCTGGCCAAACCATACATAAGATTTGTGAATTAAATAGGCCCTCACGAATCTTGACGCGTCGCTACTTACACAGCCATATGCCATTTTGGAGTCGGTCGCTCACCACACAATATTCTTTCCGTTTCTATCACAAACATGGAACTATTAATGAAAATAAGTTTCACCCATCCAATTATCTTCCCAAAAAGACGTAGCATTGCCTAAACCAACATTTTTATGATAAAACACCTCCAAGTCAATATTATCATATCGAAGATGTTTACTAGTGTAAAAATATTACTCCAAACTCCTTGAAATTTAGACCTTCTAGATCCAACATCAAATCCCACTTTCGAACCATGAATCGCTCAAATAACTTTAGACAATAACCTATTACATGCGGTTAAGAATCCCCATCTCCATTTCATTAACATAGCCTGATTCGCCGCATACACACTACACTACTAATTCCCAAACCTCCCTCTTCTTTAGACGCAAGAATCTTCCTCCATTTGACTTATAACATATTTTGCAATCTATAGACCACCTTCCCTAAAAATAAGCGTGGTCCAGAATATTAAGAACCTCGAAATATAAAGATAAAGTAAACTCTGAAGTTTTCAAGATTTTTTTTTATAAAAAAAGGGATAACCGGTCTCCAATAGATAACACCTTCACTTTCCAACAAGATTTTTTTTAGAAAAACAATCAATAATGCATTTTCAACCTTCAATCCTTAACATATTAGAACCAACCGATAAACCAAATTATTAAAGGGAAATTTATCTGCCTTACAACCCATAATATCCGATGCTCTTGCTCTTGACTAAAATGATCTTCAAACCCGATATAAGGTAAAAGTTGAAAAGTTGAAAATTTGAAGAATTGAATCTTTATATAGAGTTACTTGGCCAATTAGACATTTTATTTTGTCCCTGTTCCAAATAAAATGACTAGTTTTGGGACCAAAATTGTGACAATCACCTATACTCTGGAACCAACAATAGTCAATTTACTTGGAACAGGGACCAAAAACGCTACAGAACCTCAAACAAGGACCAAATTTGCAAGAGAAATTTTTTTGGGACCAAAATTGAAAACATTAGTTAGACTCAGGGAATGAATATGTAATTTACTCTATTACATTACACTCAGGTACCCGGTGTTGAAGTCGATTTAGAAATATCTCTGGCCCAGGCTATGCAAACTTACCAGTTGACCCTGTATCTAATATTTATCTTTACAATCATTCATAAATAAGAGTAATTCATGATAGTTTTACTGACTAATGTGTTGTTGAATGGCAGATATGAGCTACATTACCAAATGATCAATCACATTTGGAAAGGTTTTTTGTACAAAGAGTAAACCCATGCCAATGGCACTACCTCAAGTTGAAGGGTATTTTGGGAAACAGTGTGCACCAATTATTGAGGAACCAACAACACCTGAGCCAGACGCTGTTGAATTATCAATAAAAGACATTGATGATCAATAATATGAGGATTCACAAGTTGTTAGAGGAACTATTTTGGTAAGAATCCTTTAGTTTTGAGTTGCACATGATATAGATATACACTCTAATAATCAAATAAAACCATTAAGCTATATGTCTATTTTCATCACAGATACCATGTAGAAGTAGTAGAACTAGAACAGCAACACGAGGGAGCTTTCCTCTCAATGGCACTTACTTCCAAGTTAACAAAGTACATGTTCATATGATTATATGAAATTTCATATCAATCTTTATCTAGCAAATGCTTATATGATTGTTCAGAAGAGCATTAAGGATCTTCATTTTTTGGTACATTTATGTATTTAGGAAAGGATTTGAGAAAATATGATCTATTGGATTCATACAGAGAGCGTGCATATCGAAATATAAAACAAAATGATTACAAAAACCGATATGAAACAACAAATCAAAATTTTATATACGATTATCATCAAACTATGGATGATAACAGAAGATGTAGACTTTTCAAGGGAGGGAGGATCAGAATCAAAGCAGAGTAATAAGAATGAAGATAAGCAGAGCAGCGATAAAAGAGTACTTGACAGCAGCAATCAGTATCGCAAACGATATGACAAACAGCTGCCATAAAACTTGTACACTCGCCCACGCCAAAACTCCGGTTAACCCTACTGCCACCACATTATCCGGATCCGGATCAAACAGCAACTCGGTCCACTTCAAATTGAACCGCGGCTTTTCATCTCCTCCTTTTTTCTTCATATCTTCTTCTTCTTCTTCTTCATTTCCACCATTCGGTTTTTCGCTCAATTCTTCTTTATCTACTGAAAAAGACGTCTTGAATCCTCTAGGGTTCTTTCTCCTCGATTTCAAACATGGTAAATCGTCAGTACAGATATATGGAAACCGTGTTTGTTGTTTTGGAATCGGATTCGATATAGAAATTGACGGAATTAGATGGGTGTGTGAGAAGGTCATGAACCCTAACATTTTGCCTTGTGGTTTTTGCCCATTCCAGAGGGAACCTTCAACTTGGAAACCCCTGATTCCGGATACGTTTCTTAGGCTTAATTTCAAAGTATACCCTTTCGATTTACATTCGTACTTTATAGCCCCCTCACTTTAATTATCTTTATATGTTGGAACAAGGGTTGTAAATCGGTCCAGGAACCGAAAAAATCGAAAACCGACTAAGGATTGAGCGGGAACCATAACCGGTCCGAAACTGAAAGAAAAAAACAGAAAATGATGAACTAGGAGAACCGAGATTTGGCCCCGAATACCACTAATGGGTACCTACCGGTTTCGGTTCGGTTTTTCGGTTAAAAAGTTCATCCTTAGTTGAGACCATGATCATTTAAATTCAAATTATTTCAAAGCTAAATTGGGATTCATTTCAAAACTACTTATTGACTTGTTAGCTTTTCAAAAAGCTAATAAGTCAAAAATAATGTTTAACAATCGCAAAACTCATTTTTAAAATAATTTTTTGAAAATTTAAAAAGTACATTCAAAAAGGAGTATACACGCATGACTATTTTGGAAAAGTTATAAGTTAAGAAGTTATTTTGGTCATTTTATTTTGGTCATTATATATATATAAGCTAACAATACACGTTTTAATTTATTCTCTTATTGATTTTTCCCACCATAAATTTTAACACTATTTTTAGAAAAGTCATAAGTAAATATCTCTTTTTGACAAAAGCCATTTTGGAGTTAAAAAAAAACAATCCCAAACACCCATGAATTAGTGGAAATCAAAAAAATCTGTTTGTGAAGATTGAGTTTAGTGAAGTTCATTTTTGGGAGCATTTCACTATGCTATTTCTTTATTTTTAATGCATTATAAAAAAATTGTTAGCATCTTCGAAAATATAAGAGAATTTTATGATAGAAAGATGGATCAAAAAGGAAGATCAATCGGATGATGGGACAAAATGTTTGTGCCAAAAAAACATGGGAGGTCTTGGAATTGGTTGTATGCGGATCTTAAATCTCGCTTTACTGACAAAATAGTGGTGGAAAATAAAGGTTGAAGATATGATTTTACGGTCTCAAGCAATTTGGTCCCTTAACAAATCTACTTAATGTGAGAAAGTCCAACCCCAGATTGTGGTATTCTACTACAAACATAACAACGTACATCAATACATGATAGAATATGGTGTTCAACTTCTAAAGTTCTTTAAAATAAAAGTTAGATGTGGACCGGAAACATTATTTTTGGAAAGATGTTCATGTTTTAATGGGGGTGGTGCTTCAAAATTCAATTCCCAAGAATTTATTTATTGAGGCAAAAAAAAATGCATTGTTTCGGACATAATTGACAATACGGTTAACACAATAACTACATGTAAATGGCATTGGAAGAAACATCTATGAAAAAGCACCAAATAAATGAACTAATTGCCTTGAAAGTTCTGTTAGAACAATTCATTGTTATGTAACACCTGTTTCCCAGAATGTATCAGCTGAAGACATAGAGGAATCAAAGGCATGGTTTTTGGATGAAAACCATATGCAACGGCGTGGCGCATGGGGTTCCACGATGTGAGTTTTGTTATCGATAGACTATAACTTGTTTTATATATATATATATATATATATATATATATATATATATATATATATATATAATACAATCAAATTACAACATGTTTTAGATAGACTATAACTTGTTATATATATATATATATATATATATATATATATATATATATATATATATATATATATATATATATATATTAAAATATTTGGTTAATACTTCAGTAATTGATGTTGACACTAATTTGTTGTTAAATGGACCACCATTTATCCATACAAAACTAAGGGTGTGTAGAAATTAACCGATCAAATTGGAACCAACCGATCCAATTACGATATCTAATTACAATTGGATTGGATTGTATGCAACATTTCAAAATCCAACTGGATTAGATCATCCTGAAAGTCCAATGGATAACTGAAACGATACGATCCAATTGGGTATCCAATTTAATCCATTAAATATCCAATATTATTGTCCAAATCCAATTTCTATTATTAAAATCCAATAAAATATTAAGTTGAAAACATGAAATTAATGTTACTCTCTTAGTTTTATTTAGCGTAATTATGTACAATTTTATTTTTAGTTATCATAATTATATTTGGTCATTCAATAAATTTGGATTAAAATTGGCTGTGTAATGGATAACCAATGGATTAAACCAACCAAAAATATACAGTAGATAAAACCGATCCAATCCAACATCCAATTGGATCGGTTCCGTTTGATTTTTTTATATTAAATTGAATCGGATCGGTTGAGAAAATGCAAAATCCAATAGATGATTGGATTAGATCGGTTCCATTTAAATCCATTGGATTTGAACCAATCGACAACCCTAACAAAACACTATAACACATCAATCGGTTCCATTTAAATCCATTGTTTTTTAAGGATCGTGCTAAGACCCACCTGATTTTATTTTTATTTTCTTAATTTTTTTTTTTAACATTTGTATAGAAAAAAGTTTACGAAGTATCTTAGAAATGTATTTTAAGACTTACGATATAGTATTTGACAAAATAAAAAACAAATAAATAAAAAAAAGTGGTGGAAAGTTTATACTTAAATTTGAAACAAATAATTAATGTTACCAAAACCCATTTTACATCAAATAAAGAGAGATATGTAATTGTTTCATGATATAAAAAGAAATTGTAAAGGGTGATAGGAAAACTTGAAAAGCAATAAAAATCTTCCTACATTATTGGTCGTAAGAAATGATTGTTGTAAATGAACTATTTAAAAAATTCAGATTTTTCAAGGCGTTCAACTGGTCCGTTGAATCTGTTTTTTTGCAAACCGTCTAGTTTTTTACTAGTTTGACCCGATCCGACCCGTCATGAGTATTATTGACTTTTTTGTTTTTATTGGCTTCATTTAATTAGGAACCCATGCTTTTACAATCTAATTTTGTTTCAACTTTTGTGTAGAGTAAAGTAAGCTCAGATTAACTACGGATGTTTATGGGGTCTTTCTTCGCCGGTTCCATCACCGGTGTATACTAGAGAAGTAATTTATGATGCTAACGTGTTTTAATTGTCTCAAACCCTGGTTTTGTTGTGTCTCCAACGTACCTTTATGTCCAACATATATTAAACATCCCTTTATACTTACAACCTTTGCTATGTCGACCCTTTTTAGCCTCTATATATTTCTAAAAATGCCATCAGAAGTGGTGTTACATATAACGGCCTGCTTTTGTTCTTGATGCATTATTCAATGGCTTAAGAAGAAGGATAATGGGTTAGCACACGTAAAACGTTATATGGGTGGTTAGGATTTTTAACGAAAAAGAGAAAATTAACCAAAGTTGAAGACGCTTTACTAAAGGGTCTTTTTAGATGGTAGGTATAGAAGGAAAGTAGTAGGAAGCCGGCAACACAAGCTACTATTTTTAGACATCAAAGCATTAAAAGATCATGTTCACGTTGTGTCTTAAACTCTCAAGTCTCACCTATATTGTTTAACAAACTTGATGGCAACTATCTGAATTAAAAACCAAATATAAATATACAATCTTCTCCCTCCATGTTCATGTGTTTTCTTGCACATATTTATATGATATATAAATCACGAGATAGTGTTATTATCACAAACAAATGATCAAATACGCAATCTGGAAAGTAGAAGATGGTGCTGTATGACTAATTGATCATCTTTATTTTATGCTTTCTCTATGCTTAACATGTTAAGCATAGAGAAAGGGACTTTAAACTTTACAAATATTATCCTATCATCTATATATCGTTTAATGAAAACAGATGTTGTAATTCTATTGGATGCTATTTAATTATCTTTGTTATTTAGTATGTTAGACATTCCATTGGTTGTCAATTACGTTTGACTATATTACCTCGTGACGACAAAATAACGAATAAATTCATCATTATCATCAAAACTATAAGAAAGTACATAACCTAATGTAATCTATAAATAAAATATTGTAATTTTGATGAAGGAACGAGGCCCACCAAGCCTAACTATGATTGATTAAGACAGCATGCCTTTGACAAAATCAAAGGAACGATCGACAACCACAATCATCATGTCTTTATCAAATGTTTGGTGGCATTATGACACTTAACAACTCTTTAACTGGTTCATAGTATTCTCCTGCCATCTTTAGTTTCTTCTTAATCTTCTAATCCCCAAGTGGAAGAGATTGATCGATGGGTAATAGTTTGCTTGATGAAGAGTGTGATTACTTGTTTAAAATGGTTTTGGTAGGGGATTCAGCCGTAGGGAAATCAAATCTTCTGTCAAGGTTTGCTAAAGATGAGTTTCATCTTGATTCTAAGCCAACAATCGGGGTTGAATTTGCTTATCGGAATATTAAGGTTGGAGATAAGTTGGCCAAAGCACAAATATGGGACACTGCTGGGCAAGAAAGGTGCATATGATCACTTTCCTAATTTCTTGCTTTTCTAAATTTAGTTTAAACATCAAAGCGATATAATACATCTTATAATACATATGCAGTAGATCAGTATAGCAATACATATGATAGTAGATTTAACGAAGTGTTTTTTAGTTTAGTGATCTTTATAAATATTTACAAACTTTTAAAAGAATCCATATCGTGGAGCCTGATTATATAATAAACAAGGAAAATTTGTGAGATTCGGAATATAGTAAAAAAACTTGTTAAATATGCTCCGAAAACTGTCGCTAAAAAGTGTTGCATGCAAGCTGTCAAAGCTTCCTTGGTTCTTAAGGTTGCGTTCTTTACGACAAATTAGAGCCTAGAGGTTAATTAGAGTTTTATTAGGACTCATAGAATAATATATATAGGACTGTTACAATTTACATTATTGTTTTAATTAGGACTAGGATCAGCAGGTTTGTGTGTTTGACGTTTTAACCTTTTTTTTTTTTTAATTTTTTTTTAATCTATGTCTTACCATTCACAATTATCGATCGAGAACCTTTGTAACCCTACATCACAAGAGTTAACATAATTTTTTTTTCCACTTTATATTTTGGTGTTCATTGTGATTGTCATTGTGATTTGTGTTTCTTATCATATGACAAGTTGTGTTCTACTTCAACGTTATTAATTTGTTTGTATGTGGTTGTTCGGCGTTAATAATTTTTATAACAAGTAGTATCAAAATGTTCTAGATTAATATACATTTGTTTAGAAAAAATAGTCGTTTTTTTTCCTGAACATAAGGGTCTTTTTTCTTGGCCGCATCTTCCTTTTGATTGACCTTTTTAAAGCTAGGCGGTGTACACACCATGCACAATGCATGATAGTGATGTGGCAGCCTCTCCACGACGTGCACACCTCATGGTGCGGTGGTGATATGGCAGTTGACAACGTGGATGTGCTTGGCTTCAACCACATATATTATTTCTTATTTTCTCTTCCTTCGTCCTTCACTTTTCTTAATGGACAATCCACTATGGCATGATGTGAAGGCATCATTGTGGTGGCCCTGAGGGTGGCGGTATGAAGCGTTGCCAATATATATACCGAAACTGTGAAGTTTTGTTAAATATGCACTGAAAACTGTCGCTTAAGGGTGTTGTAAGCTATCAAACCTTCATTGTTTCCTAAGTACTAAGACTATGTTCGGAAAATTAGCTGAAAAGCTAGTTGATAGCTCAAAAGCTAGCTAGTAGCTGAAAACTAGTTGCTAGCTTATAAGCTAGCCGACGAAAAATGGAATTTGGTACAAACTAGCTGATAAGCTAGTTGAAAGATATAAAATGATATAAAGGTTATTTAAAAGAATATGTTTTTATAATTAACTAGATTATGACCCGCGTTAAACGCGGGGAACATAAATTAAATACATATCACATTAATATGTGACTTTGTCTTAGGTTGAATTTTAATAAAAAAAATATTAGTTACTGTAACACCCATAAAATCCAAGCTAATTTAAAACTTTTTAAACAATCCAAAACCATTAGTTATTACAAAACTTGTTTTCAAAAGGTATAATATCAGAGTATCCCAGAAACGTAAACATAAATATGAGGAGCTGTACGATCATGCCTTCGCCTTGCCGCGATCCCCTGATGTACCTGAAACAATAAACTGAAACTGTAAGCCCGAGACTTAGTGAGTTCCCCAAAATACCGATACACTGCACATAATACATATACAAATAACAGCATGTACTGGGTCCACAACTTTACAAATTGGGATACCCCTGGGCCCACAGTGTGAGTCTGGATTGCCTACCGGGCCCACATCTCACATCTGGATTGCCACCGAGCCCACAGTACGAGTCTGGATTGCCTACCGGGCCCACAACTCGTATCTGGAATGCTCCTAGGGTTTGTTGGTCACCGCACGAAGCAGTACATCCTCAACCCATCCCACATAATATATCAACATATAACATAACTACTGAGCATGCAGATAATCATATAACAACACAGGTAGTCCTACCGATCTACCTAACTGGCATAATCACTAGCATGCAGCGCTAACTCATACTCAACATTTAACACTGCTAGGATAACATATCCAATGGGGTGGCCTTGGTGCCTTAGACCCCTTAGTATAGTGAGGATAACTCACCTCGCAAGTAGTGCTGAAAATGATAGGCTCAAACTCTCGACTCACCAACACGAACTCCACCACCTATAGTTACCATAAAACCCTTTTTCCATAAATTTCCAAATTACCAAAATGCCCCCAGAGGTCAACTGGTCAACCCTTGGTTAAAGTCAAAGTCCACAGTCAAAGTCAACAGTCCATGTTGACCCGAATCGTCGAGTGTAGTTCACCGACTCGTCGAGTCCTTCCTGAACTTCGAGAAGTCGTGAAATCCTTGGTTGAATCGTCGAGTTTCCCTATAACTCGCCGAGTTCATGCGTGTCCAAAGGTTGGGAAAAACCCTAGCCGACTCGCCGAGTCATTAGACTGACTCGCCGAGCCCAAGGCAATCTTCATCGGACTCGCCGAGTTGTTCATCAACTCGTCGAGTTCATGACCATCTTCATATGACTCGCCAAGTCGACCTTGCGACTCGCCGAGTCCCTTCAATCCTTCATCCATACAGATGCTTTTTAAGCCATGCTAAGGCCCCATATTGTAGATCCAGCTTCCCAAGGCATGTTTATCACGTAAAGTTGCAAACTTTACGTGCATGCAAGGTGATAATGACCTAAAACAAGCTAAAAAAGGGGTTCTTAGGCAAAAGAGCTTCACCAACATGCTAAAGACTGAGACTTTATGATGATAAGGGCCAAGATGAGCCTAGATCTGAAGTTGCAACTTCAGATCTTGGTTCATCACTCGAAATGCAACATCAAATGCCCAAAATGGTTCCAAAACTCAATATAGAAAGGGGTTTAACTAGGAGAAGCTCAAAGTGATGACTTGATACCTCCAAATGGTGATAAACTGAGGTAGACTTCAGATCCCCAACTGATCCTTGTTCAAAGCTTCTTGGTCTTCAAACCTTTCCTCACCAAAATCCCTCTTCCAAGCTAAAAAGCACACCAATATAGAGCACAACACGAATTAGGGTTTCTGAATTCGAGGGGAGCAGTAAGAGAGGCTAAGGGGGGGATAAGTGATCCTTAAATAGGGTGCAAAACCCCGAAATTTAGGGTTTCATCTGCCAACTCCTACTCGTCGAGTCCCTTATTGGACTCGGCGAGTAGGTCACTAAAACACGCGGGCCAACCCGCTGCAACTCGACGAGTAGGGCAATCAACTCGTCGAGTAGACCTTGAAAACAAGAAAATTCTTATATTAATTCAATACCTGACAATCAGGGCGTTACAATTCTCCCCCCACTTGAACTAGACTTCGCCCTCAAAGTCTGCCGCGGCGAATAGCTCCGGATAGTGCTCCCGCATCTATGCCTCTGGCTCCCAAAGTCCACTCGGATCCTCTCCGATGCTTCCACTGTACCTTTACCAAAGGTACCTCCTTGTTCCGTAGAACCTTCGTCTTCCTTTCCACAATGGCCACGGGCCTCTCCACATAATTCAGGTGCTCATCGACCTGAATATCATCCAACGATACTACTGCCTCCTAATCCATAATGCATTTTCGCAATTGCGAAACGTAAAAAGTGTGGTGGATCCGACTAAGCTCCTCCGGTAGCTCTAGTCTATAAGCCACCTTGCCAACCCTGGCAATGATTCTGAACGACCCGATGTAACGGGGACCCAATTTCCCTCTCTTCCTGAAGCGAATCACCCCCTTCCAGGGTGAGACTTTCAGGAGTACCATATCGCCCACCTGAAACTCCAACTCAGATCGGCGTCTGTCAACGTAACTCTTTTGTCGACTCTGGGAGGTCTGCAGTCGCTGCCTAATCTGCTGAATCTTCTCGGTAGTTTGCAAGACTACCTCTGTCCGCCCCATCACCCTGTGTCCGACCTCACCCCAACAAACTGGGGTGCGACATCTCCGTCCATACAACAGCTCGAAAGGGCGGGGCGCCAATGTTGGAATGATAGCTGTTGTGGTAGGCGAACTCTGCAAGCGGTAGGTGGGAATCCTAGCTCCCACCGAAGTCAATGACACACGCCCTCAACATGTCCTCGAGGGTCTGAATGGTCCGCTCGCTCTGACCGTCTGTCTGGGGGTGAAATGTTGTGCTGAAATGCAACCGCGTGCCCAGTTCCTCGTGGAACTTCTGCCAGAAGTGGGAGGTAAATCTAACATCCTGGTCGGAAACAATGGAGACCGGAACCCCATGGCGAGCAATGATCTCGCGGACATATATGTCAGCTAACTTCTCGACCGATGAACTCTCCCGTATTGCCAAGAAATGGGCACTCTTGGTCAATCGATCCACGATGACCCATATAGCATCAAACCCCTTCGCCGTTCTCGGCAACTTGGTAATAAAATCCATCGTGATATGTTCCCATTTCCACATGGGAATCTCCAGGGGCTGCAGTTTGCCATGCGGCCTCTGATGCTCGGTCTTGACCATCCTACAAGTCAATCACCTCTCGACGTACCAAGCGATTTCTCACTTCATGTACGGTCACCAGTAGCTCAAACTCAAATCCCGGTACATCTTGGTGGCCCCCGGGTGAATACAGAAATGAGACTTATGAGCCTCCTCCATGACTGTCTGTCTGACCCCACCAGACATCGGAACCCATACCCGACCGCATCGGGTTAATAATCCCCGACTATCCTGCACAAACCGGGTGTTTTCACCCCTGATCCTCTCCAGCTTCTAGTTCTCTGGCCGCATGCCCTCGGCCTGAGCATCTCTGATCAGACTCACAAGCTGAGAATCCACCGCTATCCTCATACATCTCGCTGGGGTGGAAGACCCAGCTGACTTGGAACAACATATATGTCTTTGTTCATGCAAGTTGAAGTGTAACAATAAAAAACTTCTTTATCCTGCTTTTGGTCCATTCCACTAGCTTTGTCATCATGCATTAAAACGACTTTTATGACTTTCTCTTGACAAACATAGGTCAACACATTAAAAAATCGATATAAATGGTATAATTTTGTTTCTGTAACTAAATTAATGAAACTAATATGCTTAAGTAGATTGATTAACTTTTTTCATGACCTCACAACAAGAACACAGTAATAACAAATAATAAGAACATAGTAAGTGCAAGAAATTAAAAAAGAATAAGGAGAACAGAGTAAAGTAATAGCTTGGAAAAAAGAATTGGAGAAAAAGATTGCTCAAGAAGAACACTGTAAATCATAGGACTCAATCCAAAATCGTAAGAATAACCACTTCAGTGTAATCGTATATATATCGTGTTTTTGAATAAGGAAATTATTATCTTCTAAAAAAAATTGGGATCCTAAGATATCATCTTGGAGATTTTCGGCTATTCATCTGGAAAAAAAGAAAGATATCAGCTATATTAATTCAAAACTTCAAATTAATTGACTTTCTTATTTAATCAGTTTTAAAATTCAAACAATTATTTCAAATTGATTCATTTTACGTGTGATATACTGGGAGATAAATTATGAATAATAATATTGACTTTAATTTTGACTCTTAAATATTTTCTATAAATAAGGGAGTTAAATTAGGAACAATATTAATTAGAGAAACTGATATCATGTATATAAATAGAATGATATGTTTCAATTGATAAAATAATTACCGATTTTAAAGATTCTATAATTATTACAGATTCTATAATTAAATGTAATTGTGTTTGAGTTTTATTTGGGAAAGATGATGTCAGCAGTTTGATCTAAGGGTGGAAAACATAGAATTAAAACACAATCAAGGGCCCTGATTGCTTCATTGGTGAATTAAGGGTTCTCTATTAATAATATTTAAAGATTAGGAGTATATTTAGGAAATTTTCAAAAAGCTCCTGAAAAGCTACTCAAAGTAGATTTTTTAAAAAACTAGCTTATCAACTATTTTTTGGTTTGCCAAACATGACAATTTATAAAAATCTCAAAAAATCAGTTCGCTTATCAGCTACCTATGGTGCACCAAACGCAACTTAAAGATGCGTTTTTTATAAAAAATTATAGGTTAGACTTTGTTAAGACTCCTTCTAGACTAGTATATATATACAGGGCTATTAAATAATTGTTTTAATTATCTCGGTCTTCCCGTTTATACAACATCGATCAAGCGTTTGTAACCCTTCATTACGAGAATTAATATAGTGTTCTTTTCATATGTTTTTTTTTCTTAATTCCTGGTTTTCCACCTTATATCATGGTGTTCATTGTGATCGTGATTCGCTTTCTTGATCGTATGACAAGTTGTATTTAACGTTACTAAGTTGTTCGTATGCGATCGTTATGCGTTTATAATTTTTATAACAAAACTAATGCTCAATTCGTTAATAAGTTGGATATATTTATGTTAAGTCTTGAAGCTGGAAAATCAATATATTAATAATTTATACTACATTTTTAGAAGTATAAAAATGATAATATATATATATATATATATATATATATATATATATATATATATATATAGGGCTAAGTTATAATGTGGATGGACAACTATTGTGCGGACATGTGGACAAATGCTATTCTATGAGAATTAGTAAGAGAATAGGTTGTTTGCTAATGTGAATACGTTCAACCTTACACAAATATCGTCATTTTCATGCATTCTCACTAATTCTTATTTATTTTTGTTCTCACACATCGTTTTTTACTTATTTTTATTCTTATAGAATACGACTCAATAAACATTATTACAACATTTTAACAGAATGAGAATAAAAAAAAATAAAAAAAAATCTATAATAACCTTATAGAAGATTTAATTAGTGAGAATGCGTGATAATGACAACAGTTATGTAAGATTGAACGTATTCACATTATCAAACAACATATTTTCTTTGTCATTCTCACAGAATATCACTGTCCACACGTCCGCACAATAGATGTCAATCCACATTTGAACCTAACTATATATATATATATATATATATATATATATATATATATATATATATATATAATAGTCATTGTCCATCATATCATGTGATTGGTACGCATGTGATGGATGCTCGTATTCTATGCAGACACTCACATGAACATATCAATATGTTGCTTTGTTACACTTTCTTGGTGCTATATCTTTACTGTTTGGTTAAAATCGAAATATCCAATCGGACAATTTAGATTAGACTATTTGGTTCGAATATTCAGATTTTTGGATTGATGTTAAGCTAAATCAAATTATTATTTTTTGCTTTAGGATTGGTTTTGGTTTATAAAATAAAAATCGAATAGTCCAAAAAAACCGAATAACATCTTATTATTTATTTTTAATATATATCTTTAATCATTTATAAATTTACTAAATTATTTTTTAATTATTAGAAACTTTTATCCGATATAATATATTAATATGTACTTCTTATCAAAAGTTTTTTGTCAATGAAATATTAAAACTATAATCGATTTTTCTTAATAGTTGTTTATCAATTATAATTCATAATTAAAATGTTTTTTATATACTTTTATAGAGTTGACTTATATTTAGGTTATATATTTTTTAAAATGTATCTCCTCTTAAAAACCGAATTGTAAAAACCGATCCAACTGAATGTAATTTAGTTGGATCGGATCAGATTTGAATTTAGTTTGAACTATTTGGATCCATGTTTTAAAAACCGAAATCTATTTGGATTTACTTGATCGGATCGAGTCAAACTGATCCATGAACACCCTAACTACCTTTACCTTGAATATCATTAATTTATTATATTGTTTTTATTGCATTTAGCCGTTGATGAAAAAAAAACCGTTAGTATATTTGTATTTTTTTTACACTTAGGGACTTGGCCATTAATAAACTGTAAATTTATATACAACTATATTTCAAAAAATTAATATACTTTATGGTCCCAACATTATTAATCTAATCTATAACTTATTTTAATTGTATATAAAATTAGTAAAAATAGTTAACAGATTATAATTATCTTCATTGTAGATTCAGGGCAATAACAAGCTCATATTATCGTGGAGCATTAGGTGCTATGCTGGTCTATGACATTACACGAAGGGGAACTTTTAAGAACTTGAAGAAATGGTTACATGAGCTTAGAGAATATGGAAATCGTGATATGGTTATTGTTCTTATTGGAAATAAATCTGATTTGGTTGAATCAAGAGAAGTTGAAGCTGAAGAAGGTCAAAGTCTTGCCCAGCTAGAGGATTTATGCTTTCTTGAAACATCTGCAAAAGAGAATTTGAATGTAGAAGATGCATTTCTCCAAATGATCACAAAAATCTTCGAAATTGCAAGTCAAAAAAGCCTTGAAGCCAAGGAAAATGACGCAACGAAGAAAGTTGTTGATGCTAGAAAAGAAATAATCTATGTTGTTGATGAAGTGACTGCCACTAAACAAACAAGTTGTTGTACAAGTTAGGAAAGACTGCTTTGTTCATTTTGACCTTCAAGGTCATACATGAGTCATGACGTTAAAAATGAACTGAACTTTATGAATTAGTAAAAAGATGAATGGTTATGTTAATAAAAAATATCGTTATAAAACCAAAAAAATAATGTTGGTTTATAATATTCTTTTGTTGTCTAACCATTGAAGCAATCTTGGCAAAACTCATAAGTAGAGAGTGTAATTTTAATATTCTTCACACACACACACACACTAAGACCCATGTATGTACTTGTATCGCATGGTGCGGTTAGTACTGATGAATTTTATAGAAAACAAAATACTAAAATGCGGAAAACAATTAACACTTAATAGGTATATGCATCCTATAAAAGATCTATGTCATACACCTTAATAGCAACATACAATGAACAAATAAACCTAGTATAATTCGAAATTACCAAGTGTAGAGTTACATACCTCTTGAATTGTTGTAGTAAACAAATCACTTCAATCTCTTTGTAGTGTAGGTCTTGAAAAGCTAGCACCAAAAGGATGTTGCCTCTAATGGCTCATACCCAAACCCTAGAACTAGAAGACAAGAGGAGAGATGAGATAGGAGATTTTCGGCCAGAGAATCCTTCAAGGAAAAGTATGAACGAATTTTAGGACCCAAGGGGTTCTATTTATAGTTTAGGTAATTTAGGGACAAAACAAGATTTGAATGATTAAATAATATATTTAATCACAATTCAAATCCTTTCCTTATTTACAACCAGGAGGCTTCTGGAAACCTTAGAAACCCTCATAATTTCGTTCACCCCTATATGGGTTCTAGAATTTTTTTCCTTACTCAGTTATGGACAATTATAATTCAACTTTTGGACCTTTAATTAATTTCAATTAACCCCGCATTAATTTAAGATTAATTCTGAGTAATAATTAATTAATTCTAATTGACTTCATATTAATTTATTAATCATAATAAATTAACAAATCAATTTTTCTATTTCCAATTAATATATTAATCATATAATATATTAATAAATCATTTCCTCATAATTTTCAACTAGTTTATGTAACATCCCGATGATGAGGTAATTTTCGATTTTAACCATATGTATGAAGAAATATTGCTTTTTGGCCCCTGTGCATGAGAAGGATTGCAAAATGGCCCATAATGGCATTTTGGTAATTTGGCCGAGGCTTAGTATGCTGGGCATACGCTTCGTACAGAGGCGTACATGCGAGAGCTTTGTACGCAAGGCATACATCGTGTACGCCTAGCGTAAGTACGAGGGTTTCAAACCCTAAAATTTAGGTTTCAGACCCTATTTAAACAATTTTTGGCCCCAAGACCTTCACCCCCATCAACCTCCACCTAAAAATCATCCCTCTAGCTAACCCTAAGTGTGAAGAATGCACCTTGAGCTCATTTGTGTGTTTTGGTGGTGTTCTTGAAGAAGAAGAAGAAGGTGGTAGAAAGACATTGGAGCTTAGAAGGAATTTGGATATGAGATTCTCACCTTGCTAGAAACCTTAAGGAGGTAAAAAGCTCCTAGCATGATCATCTTTTCTTATAGATATAAATATTCCTTCATTTAGGGCATTTTTGGTCCCAACCTTTGTGATTCTTGAGCATGGCATGCTCTTGATCAAATAAGTCGTCCTTTCAGACCCAATGAGGGGTCTTGAGTTATAAAAATGAGATCTTGATGCTTAGTTCTTCCCCATGCATGCTCTATAAGGTCTTTAGGTGTTAAGAAGTTAGGATTGTTTGTATTAAGCACTTAATGGGCATGCAAAGTCATAAAGTTCGAAACTTTATGATTCTTAGTGGTATTTTGGCCTTGGATCTGCATTTGGACATGAAAAGTCGAAGTATTAAGCTCTTAAGTGATTAAGAAGGACACATGTGCGTACCAAATGGTATGCTAAGCGTACGCAAGCTGAGCCCCCGATGCCTCGGACCACGAGTACACCTCGCGTCCATCCGAAGTACGCCCCAAGTACGAGGCCTGAGTTGAATCAGCTGGGTTGACTCGGCTAGATTGACTTGGTGGATTTTGCTGATTTTGACCGGTTTTGACGAAGGGTATTTTAGGTATTTTGAGATGTTAATTGAGATTAGATCCTTGGTTTTGGTTAGGTGATCGTTGAGTCGATTTTTCGGAACAAAGATTTATTCAGCTTGCATTTTGACTGAGAGGTGAGTTTTCCTCACTATACTTGCGGGTCGAAGGCTCCAATACCGGCCTATCAGATTATGTATCCTGTTATAGGATGTTGCTATGCTGTAGTGATCTGTTAAGATCTGCATGTTTATCTGTTTGCTGGTATATGTTTATCTGTTATGCATATGTCGACATAGTATGGTTGGGTTGAGGTTGTACTGCTTTGTGCGGTAGCCAACAAACCCGGGAGCAATACAGACATAAGCTGTGGGCCTGAGGGCAAGCCAAAAGTTATGCTGTGGGCTCGGGAGAAATCAAAATATGAGCTAAGGGCCCGATAGGCATGCTATACTCATACTGTGGGCTCAGGGGTAATCCAGTCTTTTAGCTGTGTACCCAATATATGTTGTTATATGTATATATGTGTTGGTACTTTGGGGGAACTCACTAAGATTTGACTTACAATTTTTAGTTTATCATTTTAGGTACTTCTGAGGATCGTGGGAAAGCAAAGACGTGATCGTACACATCTTCATGTCACTGGGTCTTGGGAAAACTATGATTTGAAATAATGCTTTTGAAACGATGACTCTTTTTGTAAACAATGTTTATTAATGGTTGATTTTGAAAATTTTAAATTTCATTGAGAGTTGGAGTGTTACAAGTTGGTATTAGAGCCTTGGTTTGAGAGAATTGGATGAACATTCGTGTGAATCCAGACTCAAACTAGGGAACTGCAAAAGTTTTTTTAAACTGATTTTCAAAATTGTTTTCAAAAGTAACCAAGGAAGGATGCGATGTGTACGATCAACCGGAGCAAGAAAGTATACCCCAAGTTACCTACACTATTATTTTATATTATGTTTATATTAGAACAACATGCTAGTGTTAGGTTAGGGATCTTCAGGAATTGCATTATAGAATTGCCTGATAATTGATGCCTGATAGCCTATGATTCTTTCTTGTATGGAATTGACATCATTACTGTAGTTGTTTAGTGTATGCATCATAGTTGTACATAACTAAGATTCTATAGCCTGAATGTTTGGTTTAGCCTTATTTCTCTTTCTTGTTTGATGAAGGGCTTAGGGTAGAATCAAGTATTCGACTGTCTATATGATCCAGTGTTATGTATGATTTGCATACACGAGTGCTGCAGGCTTGGTGGAAGGTTCATGGATGGGTTATGTGTAAGAAGTCGACCAGTTGAGGAATGTCTAGCCTTCTCTAGGGAGTGAGAATAGGATGTATGTGTATTCTAGTGTGTGCTGTTAGGGTCGTTGTGATGATCTTCTGAGACAAATACGGGTAGACATGGAAGGTAGTATGGGCCCGTACTACCCACAGGACACGTACACGTAACAGGTAAGTCACAACCCCTAGGGTTACGTTATTTAGAATAACTCATGGTGTTCACGAGGGGATCCGGATCAGGAGCTGGAACGAATGGACAAGATAGGCCCTGAATGACTGAGGATGAGATTAGGGCGTTGATTTCTTCTGAGGCTGTAACTGTTATCCGAGGGCAGATACCGGAGATATTCGGGTCTATTAGGACAACCATGATTGAGTACTTTGATGACCGTTATGCTGCACTTTCTGAGACTGTTGTTGGTGCAGCTACCCTGGTCGTTGCGGCCGCTGGGGTTCGTGGAGAGCGAACCTTCTAGTACCGAGACTTCGACAATACGAATCCCCCGGTGTTCGATGGGGTTCAGGATCCGATCATTGCTATGAGGTGGTTGTCTGATGTCGAGGGATGTTTCTTTACTTGCTCTTGCCCAACTGACCAGAAGGTCAATTGCGCCCTGAACCTTCTCCGATTGGGGGCGAAGGATTGGTGGAGGTTGGTTACTAGCTCTTACACTCTGGAGCAGAGGGCTACTGTATCATGGGAGAAGTTTTCTGAGATGTTCCGTAGGAGATATGTTCTATTGGTTGAGAGGGAGAGATTGGCCCAGGAGTATTTGGACTTGAGGCAGGGGACTGAGTTTGGTGACGGAGATCACCAAGATGTTTACTAAGAGAACACTATTTTTCCTAAGTTTGTTGCTTCTGAGCAAGCTCAGATGACCCCGTACTTGAGCATGATCAAGATGGACATCCACCAGTTTGTGTCTACTCAGCGTTTTGGTTCACTTGTGGAGTTAGAAGAGGCCGCTAGGAGGCGGGAGATTGAGTTGGAACTCCAGAAGAGGGAGCGGAGGCAGGCTCCGGTGCAGTCACAGCTTGCGGCGAAGCGGTTCACGGCCGCTGATGTGAGATCTGAGAGTCAGAGGGGCTGCACTTGTGGAAGGTGCAGTAAGGTTCATGAGGGTCCTTGTCGATCTACTTTTGGGTGCCACAAATGTGGCAAGGAGGGGCATTACGCCAAGGACTGTCGCCAGCAGGTTTCCGCGCAGACCACCAGGATCTGTTATCACTGTGAGAAGGTTGGTCATGTGAAGGCCAACTATCATTTGCTCACTGTGGGACCGGCGCAGGCTCCAGCGCCAACTACTTTGAGGATCACCTTTTGGGCACCAGGGTAGGGCGGAGCCCCCGAGGGCTCGAGGTCGCACTTTTTAGCTCACGACAGAGGAGGCCAGGACGACGCTAGACGTTGTTACTGGTATGTTTCCATTTATCATTCTATCCATTATTTTATGGTATGCTTGTGCTTATGTTTCTGATAGGTACATTCTTAGTGAATTCTTTTCCTGCTCTTGTGTTATTTGACTCGAGCGCGAGTCGGTCCTTTGTAGCTCAGTCTTTTAGTAGGGATTTTGATATGACCCTGTGCGAGTTGGAGTGTCTGTTGTGGGTTTCTATCGCCAATGAACATGGGATTTCTACATCCATAGTGTATCAGGGTTGTGACTTAGAGATCTTCGGGGTGCCTTATCCGATTTATTTGATTCCTATCCCCATGGGGGATGTATGCGTGATAGTAGGGACGGATTGGCTGAGCAGGTTTG